GGCGAATCCAGGAACCCTGCAGATGCCGTGAGACCAGCAGGTTGTGGAGGTATTCAGTGGGTGGGATAGGCCCGCATAGAAGCTACAGTCAGACTCTACCTGACGGTCCTGCGGGGAGGTCCCCCTCTGCCCACTGAGGGGAATGTCCAGTGTCCCAGTTCTCTGCTAGGGCCTGCAGGCTATGCCACTCTCCCTTTCCCCAAGGACAGGCCTGGGCCTGAGGCCAGACTGGGAGACCTGCAGGCAGCCAGGGACAGGGGAAAGTGGCCTCCCAGGCCACAGGATGGGAGCCCTATCCACTACCACTGTAACTTCCCGTCCCAACTGGGTGCTTTTGAATATAAAAGTAACAATTATCTCAGGACATCCCACGGGAAGCAGGATCTGTTCTGGGCAACCAGGGACACAGGGTGACATAAGATGTGAGGCAGAGAGCTGGCCCTGTGTGCTGACCAGGCCCTCAGGAACACACCCCATGGCACAAATTCATGACTGGTCACCCAAGTTGGTCAAACTCCTTGGAATGCCCAGAGCAAGGCCTGGGGATATGTGGATCTCCCCATTTAGAGAGTCAACTCCCCACATCCTCCGCTCCTCTGCCCACTGGCCTGCATCGCTGCCCTCAGGAGAGCAAACACCCCGAGGAGAATGGCACAGTCCGGGCACAGCCTGACGTCCAGCCACGTCCCCTGCACCTCTACCTTCTGTGACTTTTCTGGGCAAAATCACGGAGTCCTCATCTCTTCCCTCCTGCACGGACCACCCCACAGCCTGGAGGTACCCCAGGGCCCTGGTTCCTGGCTGTGGCACGGGAGTGTCTGCACTTGGCCGGGGTGTTGCCAGAGACAGCACATGCTCCTTCGAGCCATGCTGCCCCTAAGAAGCCACAGCTCAGACCTCCTCATGCAGGTCTGGCTCAGCACATGACAAGACAAAACGAAAACAGAACAGAAACAAAGACCGTTCTGTGGAAGGAAAGACACATGAGAAAACAGAAACCTCGCCACAGAACTCAGCTTCCCCACAGGACAAAGGCTCACGCTTCCACCAAGACTGACTCAAAGGAGCTTTTATCCTCCTCCCCACGTGGCCACCCCATGCCCCTTGCCAAGCCCTGGGCACCTCCTCCCTTCAGTGGCACCGTCCCCACACACCTGGAGGCCCCCATCCCCCCATCGAGTCCTGTGGCTTCTTAAAGCCCACCAGACTTGACCACCCTGATCCCAGGAGCTCCTGGTACTGCCGCCATCCCAGATGTGAGGGTACTTTTGTCCAACAGTTGGAGCCCAAGGCCTGCTATAGACTGTGAATGAACCTTGAGGAGCCAGAGGCTTCCTCCCCACTCCCACTTTCCAGAAGGATGCCCTTAAGGCGTACAAAGGCTGATCACAGAGCAGCTAGCTCTGAAATCCATAACAACAGCAGTCCATTGTGACCCTCCCTCACTCTGCTCAGGTCCCTCCCAACTGAGAAAGGGAAAGAAGTTACTGCTCTTTCCTGTAGTCCTGAAACACACCGGCAGGGGCAGGAGACAGCACACAAGGGAAAAGGCTTGCACCCAGCTGACCCCAGTTCTATCCCTGACGCCATGGAGGGTCCCTGAGCCCAGCCTGAAATGATCCCGGAGCACCACCATGTGGTGCCCCTAAACCCAAACCACAAGAAGAATCTTTGATGGTAACATTAAGAGGGTGGAGAGCTCCAAGGGCAGGAGTGCTGTGAGCAAGGTCCTGGGTTTGATCCCCGACTCTGCACCATCTTCCGAGCATTGTGGGAGCAGTCCTGGTTGCCCTCAGCACCTTTGGGAAGGCCCCACCACCTAATAATACCCTCAAATATTAAGAAGAGCTTCGCTTTTTACTCTCATCTACTCACAGGTCTGCAGTGGCGTTTTCCACGAGCTGCCTGACAGGAAGCTGCACTAGACTAAGTTCAGAAGCAGATGAGGACTCTGGGCCCCTGGTTCGGATCCCTGGCACTGCATATGGTCCCTTGAACAACAGGAGACTCCGGGCACCACATATGGTCCCTGAGTGCCACTGGGTATGCCCTACCCTGACTACAAAAGAAAAAAGATGGGGCCTGAGAGAGCGTGCAAGGCTTAAGACACCTACTTGCCTGCAACCCCAATAACTCCATTTTGTAGCCAGGAGAGGAATAGCTCCTGAACAGGGTGACCCAACCCCTGCCCCTCAAATGTAAAGTTAAGCTTATCGAGTTTCATTTATGCAGTAGTTTGATTTATCATGAGTTTAGTCTTATTGTATGTCTTTGAGGCCACACTCACTAGCTCAAGAACTACTCCTCTCTCCTGTGTGTGTGTGTGGGGGGGGGGGGGAGGGTCACTCCTACGTGGTGATCTGGGGAGCAAACCCCAGACTCTGCAAAGCCTGTGTTCAGCCCATTGAAGTCTCTTAGGCCCATGACTTTAGTTTTTGTTTTTTTTTTTTTGCTTTGTGGGTCACACCCAGCGATGCACAGGGGTTACTCCTGGCTCATGCACTCAGGAATTACTCCTGGTGCTCGGGGAACCATATGGGATGCTGGGAATCGAACCCAGGTCGGCCGCATACAAGGCAAACACCCTATCCGCTGTGCTATTACTCCAGCCCCTGTGACTTTAGTTTTAATTAATGTTTGAAACACTTCAGCAAGTGTCAGTGAGTATCAACCACAGATCTTGAGGTCCCCAGAATTTATGTAGAAAGGGGTACAGAGACAAGGGGTCCCATGTTGAGGTCCCCTGTAAGGGTTCATGTATGAAGTAGTCCCTTGTGGGGCAGGAGATATCCACTCCTCACCCTGCCGGTGGCTTCCTGCCTCTCCAGGCAAGTGAGGACCCTGGCCTGGCACCGACACTCTCCCACTCCTGCCCTCATATCTCAACTCGGGGACCCCCACTCTCCTTCTGATCCTATACCCACTTCTCCAGCTGCCTCTTCTTGATTATTTTGGGGCCACATGCAGTGGTTCCCCAGGATCACTCCTGGCAATGCTTTGACAGACCACAGTGGGTATCAGGGATGAAACTAGCTTGGTGGGAGGCAAGGAAAGTGCCCTCCCCACTGTATTCTCCAACCCTCCAGCTGCTCTTTCTAGAGTTGCTCGGACAGACCTGGGCACTGAGGGTCTCAGGGCTGGGCCTGGCCTCTATTGTCTCCTACTCCACGCCCAGGGCTTCGAGGAGCACCGGAGTTGAATGACTACAAATCTGACTCCACCTGGTCCCCTGTCCAGAGTCCCAGAGCAGCAGAACCTACAGCCCCCTGGCAACTAGGCAGGACTGCCCAGCTTCTCAACTGGACACCTGGCACTCAGCTTCCCCCCACAAAATAGACATCACACCTTGCCCTCAACTCTTTGCCTGTGTCAGGAACTCCCAGCAGCGAGGAAGAGAACCCCAGCTCCACACACCCCAGGCCAGCGGGCTGCAGTCCTGCCACTGGCCCTGCCCCCTCTCCCACTCTGTCTGCCAGTCTGACCGGGCACCCTGCCCGCTTGGGCACAAGCTGTTCCTGCCTTTGGTCACCAGACAGCCTGTACAGCTTCATGCTGGGTGCAAATTTTCCTTCCCAGAGGACCACCCTGAGCGCCCTGCGGGCCAGGAGCGTTTCTCTGTGCTGAGGCCCCTATTCACCCACCATCTCTGCCCACTGTGAGAACTCTGCCCTGCAGGGTAACCACGTCCACTGTGGTGCCCAGCATAGAGCAGCTTGATGAACACCACGAAATGGATAGAGGAATCCCAGCCACCTGCAGCAGGTCATCCTGCCTCCCCCAGACAACCCACCTAGCCTTCCCCTGCCACCCGCAGCCTCCTCTTGCTGTGTTGTCCTGACTGAGTTCCCAGAAGAGCCTGGCCTGATGCCACCCTTCTCCCATCAGTGGCCAGGGCTAGAGGCTGCCAATATCCCGGCACCTCATAACTTATATGGGGCTGACCCTGCTGGGGACATCAGAATAGTCCAGGGCACCGGCCCTAACTGCAGTAACAGGGACCACATAGTGGCCCATGAGCACTGCCACCTCTGGGGGCCCTTCCCAGCAGGAACCTGGGGTTAGGTTCAGTCCCGAGAGGCTGGGATTTGTGGGGTGGATCAGACCCCGAAAAGGGGGCAAATAAGCTGCTGTCTGAAGATCGGCTGGCAAGACCTTTGGGCAGGAATGGGGATGAGGGTCCCAGCAGGTGGGTGGTGAAGCACAGGGACTGGAGAGATGGTGCGGCGGAGAGAGAGTTCCAGATGCTGAGCACTGACTTGGGCTGTGACTCCCACAGGCAGGCGTTACCTGAAGTCCTGCCTTCTCACTGGCTCCTGCCCTGGGCTGGAGGGACGCAGAGTCCCTCTATGAGGCTTCCAGGGCTCTGCTACCTCAACCCAACTCCACCTGAAGAAAGAACCACATTCCAGCATAGCAGATAGTAAGATGAGTTTATGGAAGATGGTTGGGGACAGACTGGGAAGGTGCCAAGGCCGACAGTGATGAACTTCCCAGGAACAGACCAAAAGATGAGAGGGGCACAGACAGACACAGGAACAGACGAGACAGACAGGGGGAGGAGAGCAAAGCAGAAGGACTAAGAGGCCCAGAGCCAGTTGCCGAGGCTGCAGATCCAGCTGGGCCCTGGGAACATGTGGAGTGAGTAGGTGGCAGGGTCCACAGCTGGGTTTTTATGCAGGTGGAGCCCAGAACTGGGAGGGTGTTGGAGGCAGGAAGCCGAGGGGCTAAGGCTCTTGGGGGCTCCCTGGGGCTGTGGGGAGGGCCTGAAGAATGTGAGGTTAGCAGCAGCTTTGGGGAGAATCTGGTCAAGCACCAGGTACCGGAGTGGGGCTCCGCTCAGCAGGGCTCCTGAGTCCAGGGCAGGCCCTCCACACCAACATGGTGCAATAAATAGTTTCAAGTAGTCAGAGTCAGGAGAGAGACCAAAAGTCGCAGGCAGCAGGGCCTTAGGGAGAGGAGCCACTGCCGCCCAACAAGTCCTCTCCCAGGCGGCGGCAAAGAGTCTGCAGTCTGTGTGCACTGAGGTGGGAACCCGGTCCCTACATCTGTGTGGGCATGCCCCCCACAGTGGTACACCTGCTCAGACCAGTGCCAAAGCCTGCTCGGTGGGGCAGAAACAAGGCAGCATGGTGCCCACAGCGTCCACGATGGCCGCCAGGTGCTCATCCTGGGCTTGGGGCCCACAAAGTTGCATGAAGTCTGCCAGGCGCAGCAAGTACTCAAGGTTGTGGCCCGCGAAACCGCGGCAGGCCAGGATTTGCATAGCAATGGCCTCCTCAGGTGCAGGGCCCAGGTAACCAGGATTCTGTGGTGTGGCCACGTAGGCCAGTGCCTTGAGAGGCTGGTCAGGGGTCTCTTGGGGGTAGAAGGTCACTTCCTTGGTATCGTAGCCTCCAAGCACTGCTTCTCGAACATTCAGGTACTTGAGCGCTTCATTTACCTGCTCGCCTCGGACCTGGTATGCCACACCCCAGGTACAGCCCTAGAAGCAGAAGTGAGTTAGGATCAGTGGATTAGGACCTGGTATGCCACACCCCAGGTACAGCCCTAGAAGCAGAAGTGAGTTAGGATCAGTGGATTAGGACCTGGTATGCCACACCCCAGGTACAGCTCTAGAAGCAGAAGTGAGTTAGGATCAGTGGATTAGGATCAGCTCCTTGCTTAAGTGGCCTAGGACTGTGATCTCAAGGGCAGGGCTGATAAGCCCATCTAAAACTATACTAAGCCTTTGGGGCTGGAGAGCTAGTACAGCTGGTAAGGTGTTTGCCTTGCATACAGCCAACCCAGGTTCAATCTCCGGTAGATATCCCATATGGTCCTCTGAGCATAGCCAGGAGCGATTCCTGAGCCATTCCAGGTATGGCTCAAAACAATAACACCAACAAAAAGAATATATTAAGCCCTCAATCTTCCTTTCTTAGCTGGGAAGAACTGTGCTCTCACAGAGAGTAGGATCTTGAGAACCCGTGACATCACCCAGAAACTTGCTGTGAATGTGAATTCAGGCCCCCATCCTGATTCCAAAAATCAAAAATCCAAAATTTAGCCAAGAGTCCTCAAAGTATTCTCGGGCCTGCAGGCCCAGGGGCTCCTCTCTCACAAGACACTTACCTCATGATCTTCAAGAAGGGTCACCACTCGGCCAGGCTGGAGGAGAAAAACACAGATTTGGGGAAAGAAAAGTTAGAAACAGCTCTGCCATGTTTGCCAAAGAAAATGCTTATCAACCCTGCTGGGCAAAAGCCTCCAGGGAAAACCACTCATCCAAGAGAGCATGAAGGGGATGGGGGAGAAATAAACACATGGCAGGGGGACCCAGGCTGGCAATCAGATATATTGATTAATAAAATGATCCACTGGAACACGGACTCCTGCAGGCATCAGGGTGATCCTCTGAGCACATGAATTTAAGCCAAAGTCCCAGATAGGTTTACAGCTTTACCCCATGACCATGACGATGGACCCCCAGCCCCCAGCCCAGTCTCCAGTTCCCACCCCGCTGTCTCGGGGGGCACTGCCGGATGGATGCTCACCATCTTGTCGCTGCCCCGGTGGAAGGTATCTCCTTGCCAGAAGCGGCGGCTATAGCCGCGCACGAAGCCCACACGGCTGTCACTGTAGGCGAAGTCGGGCCTCCACACCAGAGAGCCATACCCGAAAATCCACAGATCTTGGGGGTCCCCGTCGTCTTCCTGAGGAGACTGCGCGGATGGTGAAGGGGGCGGCGAAGCGGCCGACGAGGCAAGCGGCGTATCCTGGGGCTCCTGCTTCATGGTGCCGGGCACAGGGACGGGCCCAGGCGGCCTCCGAGGCTGGTCTCCGGCGCGGGCACGGAAGGACCGACGGGCGCGCACACCTGGCCTGGCACCGCTTAGACGCTCCAGCTGAGTGGCCTTTGCTGGGGCGCCCTTTAAACCCTCCGGCCGAGAGGCCCCGCCCACGGCAGCCAGCTGCCGCGGGGATTGGGGCGGAGCAAACCCTCTTTTAACCAATCATCTTCTGACTTTACGGCCTGCTTAACCGCGCCGCTCTCTGAGTGGATAACGGAGGGACCCGCCCCGGACTCACCACGCCCGTTGATTGGTTCAGCTTCATCTTTGTAGCAAACCCGCTAGAGTGATGCAACGTCTGAGGGAGGGGTTTCCCCAGTTCCAGCATGCAGCAAGTGCGCCTTGAATTGCGTCAGGCGGTGGGCACTGGGCACCGGTCAGGCAAGAAGGCCGGTGTGACCCCGGCGGCCCCACGGTACCCTAGGACTTTCACGAGCCACAGCGCTCGGTTCCTAGACAGGTGTCCTTCCTGCAATCTCGGCGGGGCACCTCGCCTTGTCACTGCCCCCAGCAGGCACCACGGACTCACAGTCAGTGCTGGACACGTCCAAGCGACGCGCTCTTGGAGGCGAGAATGCCGATCTCTGGGGCTCTGCCTTGGAGAAGCAGTACCCTCCGCATTCCGCACAGATGCCTCACACTTTGGACCCGCGTGAGCAAATGGAGAAACTGAGTCAGGGCTCGTTAAGGGGTTCTGCAGAGGCTGCAAGATTGAGTCAGACCCGGCGCCTGGAGCTTGCGAGCCTCACGTGAGGGCTACGCCGGAGCCAGGCGTTGGACCCCTGAGCCTACGTTATGCTCTGGGAGAGCCCATCAGAGCACTTGGAGTAACCGCAGTCACTTTGGCGGCGGTTGCCAAACCTCCCCGAGGCTATGGGTTTAGTTTGCAACATTTGGGTTAATTCTTAGACACAGAGGTTGCAGGAGAGAGGCTCTGCCCAGGACAAAGAGGACCCTGTGAAGCCTTGTGGGCTATGAGGAGCTCCCTTTAGTGCTGGAGGGTTCACGGCGTTGCCCCTTAGGCAGTTAGGCAGTGGTTAGGGCTGTCACCTGAGATACCTAAAAAAGCGAAGTAGACTACAAAACCCTTCCCCTCTGCGAACTGTGGGGAGAGGGGAAGGTGCAGCACAGGAGGAGAGAGAAGAGTGCTGAAGTCCCAAGTCAGCCCTGTGGCAATTTTGCCAAAGGGCAATACTGCTTCGTGTCTATTCTAGTGAGACTTATTTATTTTCTGTTTTGCAGCCACACTCCTGGCTCTGCGCAAGGATTACTCCTGGCAGTGGTATGGGCCAGGAACCAAACTAAATCAGCCAGGTGCAAGGCAAAATGCCTGCTGTACTATCTCTCTGGACCTGTAATTAGATATTGAAGCTAAAAATTAGCTGCACATTTATAACAATTTCAAAGGTGTATGTTCTTTTTTTGGGGGTGCGGGCGGTGTTGGCGGGGGGTGGGTCACACCCAGTGGTTCTCAAGGGTTACTCCTGGCTCTGCACTCAGTAATTACTCCTGGCCATACTTGGGCAACCATATGGGATGCCAGGGATTGAATCCTGGTCGGCCACCTGTAAGACAAATGCCCTACCCACTAAGGTGTATGTTCTAAGATAATATTCTGCAGTAGAAATGTGATTCTATAATATGTGTATAGCTAGTTCTGTTTTTTTTTTAAAAAGCTATATGTGAATATGTATGAAAATCTGAAAAGCAATTCCTGAGCAGCCTCTGAATATCTCAGAATATGACCAAAATCTTTCCAAAGTGTGAGTTTTCACAAAAAGTATGAAGTGCTCTTTCAATAGGATAAAAAGGTTGTTCCTAGACATTCCTTCCTTTTTCCCCATTCCCCACATACTCTTCCCTCCTAATCTTCTGAAATTCTCTGGCCCTCCTGAGCTGTGAGCAACTGAGGGAGATTAAGCTGAACTCCCCTTCCTTGGATAGTGGGATGGAGACTGAAAACTGGTACCATCTCTTTATTGGAAGTGTCTGAATTGGCACAAACAACACTGAAAAAGTCACTTGGTGATATGAATCAAGAATCATAAAATGTCCCTGCCCTTTGACTCAATACTTCCATTCCAGGAAACTATTCAAAACAAGACAGAAGCCATCTGCCTTAAGATTTTTCAATGCGCTGTTATTACAGCCAAAACAAAGAAAAACTACTTAAGTATCCAAAAATAGCCCAATGTTTAAGTAAATTATGGTTAGTTCACAAATATATATACATATATATACAATTACATATATACATCAAAAAACACAAATATCCAGCAATAAATGACTTGTTACACATATTTAAATAGACATAAAATTACATCTAATCTCTGCAGCTATTAGAAATAAACTAATACCTGCCTTTACTTGATGTAGAAAACTACCTGTGATATATAATTAAGAGAAAAGACAGGTTATAGAGCTGTAGAGATAGTAGAAGGATTAAGGTGCTTGCCTTGTACCCAGCTGACCTTAGTTTGATCCCAGGCACCATACATGGCACCGGGCACCTCTAGGAGTGATTGCTGAGCACGGAGCCAGGAGTAAGCCCTGGGCACTGCCAGGTGTGGCACAAAAACAAAAAAATATTTTTAAAAGCAGAGTATAAAATAAACTGCTTTTTTTTCTTTTTTTCTTTTCTTTTTCTTCTTTTCTTTTTTCTTTTTTTTCTTTTGTACAGGCCTCATATGTACAAAACATACTCTACCACTAAGTTGCATCCTCAGCAAACTTTTTTATTGGTATCACTGTGAATTTCAAAGTACAACAATGTTTATGACTTTCAGACATACATTGTTCCCACACCAGTCTCTTCACCAGTGTCCCCTACCCTCCACCAATGTCTTGTCTCGCTTCCCTCCTCCCACAGGCTCCTATGACAGCTTTCCCTAACTTATCCCCTGGGCCCACCCCAGTGGCCAGCTTCCGACTGGAGACCAGTTCTGCCGCTCTTTGTTCCTATTTCCTTAGCAAACTTTTTAAAAACTGTGCTTCACATTAAAAAAAAAAATCTGGAAGAACACATTAAAACGCTCAAAATGAGGAGGCTCCTAGAGAGCACAGTGGGTGAGCACTTGCCTTGCATGTAGCCAACCTGGGTTTGATCTCCGGCACCCCATTTGGTACTAAGAGTCACCAGAAGCCAGGAGTAACCCCTAAGCATCACTGCATGTGGCTCCCAAATCAAAACAAATCCAAAAAAAGTGCTCAAAGTGACCACCTTTGAATAGCAGGAGGATTACAGGAGACATGCACTTTCTTGTTTATTCATCTAGATCATCTAAGATTTTTTTAGAAGAACCTAAGCCATGTATACTGATAAAGAAAGGTAAAAGTTATAAGCCATTATGAAAACATTGTAGTAAAAAATGCCTGTGATTGCATAGTAAGGAGAAAAAATGCAAAATATGAGCAATCACGTGCATTATAATTAAGACAATTAAAACAAGAAGATACATGAGGAAACACAGGCCTCATATACTAATGACACATGCGTTGGCCTATTGAGAGTGTGGCTGATTCTTCTATCTTCCAAGGCTAATAAAATATAATTTTAATTTTTTTTTTTGTTTTTGTACCGCTCCTGGTGATACTCAGGGAGTATTCCTTGCTAAGTGCTAGGTCACTCCCAGTAGTGTTCAGAGAGATGTGCTGCTGGAGATGGAACCTAGGGCTTCTCTGTGCAAAACCAGAGGCTCGGCCCCCTGAACCATCTCTCTGGACCCAGAAGGTAATTGTTTTGTTGTTGTTGTTGTTGTTATTATTATTAATTTACCCCCTCTGGCAAGCATGTATAGCAGTTAGGGTTCTTACTGTCATGCAGCCAACCTGGATTCAATCCCTGGTACTCCACATGGTCTCCCAAGCCCACCAAGAGTAACCCCTGAGTACAGAGCCAGGACTAAGCCCTGAGCACCACCAAGTGTGGCCCAAAAAACAAAATAATTAAAATAATGAACAAGAGCCGTTCTCTACGGGTAGTAAATGGAATATAGCCAGCAGTTAAGTACTTGCCATGCATGTCTGAAGCCCTTGGTTTGATCCCTGGAACCACAATAAAAACAGTAATTAGGGGGGCCCTGGAGTGATAGCACAGTGGGTAGGGGGGCTTGTCTAGCAAGTAACAGACCCAGGTTTGATCCCCAGAAACCCATATGCTCTCCTGAGCCCACCAGGAGTGATCCCTGAGCACAGAACCAGGAGAAAGCTCTGAGCACAGCTGGGTATGGCCCCAAAACAAAACAAATAGACAAAAAAAATGTAAGTAATGGATTTCTGATGGTTGAGAGTTGAATAACAATATCACCTGGGGAACATTTTCTTTTCTGTTTCCAGCAAACTGGATACAGCAAAGCTAGTCACCTGCTCACACTGTGGCAAGGGAGGGAGCGGGGCTGAAGGCAGGGGGTCCAACCCAGAGGCTCTTCGCTGATAACCCCTCTACATTTTGCCTCACACCAACCTGGGAGGGCCGGATTCATCTCTGAAGGCCCAACACTGAGGCCACAAGGAAGGTTTTTCCAGAAAAGTAGATAGACATGAGGTGCTTAGGAAAGGCAGGGCCCACTGAGGTTCAGGGGAAGGGATATCCTGCAAGACACAAGTATAACCTGGACCCTCTGGAGCAGAGATAACACAGTAGATAAGGAGTCTACCTTGTGTGCCACTGACCCTTGCACCACATGTGGTCCCCTGAGCATCTCCATGAGTGACCCTTGAACACAGAGTCAGGAGTAAGCCCTGAGCACAGCTGAGTGTTGCCATCCCCTCTCCAAAAAATAGCAATCTCCACAAAAGTTGGCGTAGGGGTGTGTACCTGGGGACATTTCTTGTCTGTTCCTAGTCCTTGTTTTTGTTTTATCATGCCGGGGACTGAACCAGGTCCTTGTGCATGCAAGGCAGGTGCTCTGGGACTGAGTTCCATTCCTGGCCTGGCCACTCCTTGCTTTGCCTCATCAACTATTTCTCTCTCTCATTTGGTTTTGGGAGCCACACCTGGTGGTGCTCAGGAGCTAGTCTCTGCTCTGTGCCCAGGTTGCTCCTGGCAGTTCTCAGGGACCATGTAGAGCCAAGGATGGATGCACTCAGCCAACTGAGCTATCTCACCGGCCTTACTTCCATCTCCTTTTTTCCTGCAGGGAAGCTCCCAACAGTAAACCACCCCCCTCAACCAGTTCTCTCTCACACTTGCAAAAACTATATCTTTGCTCCCAAAATGCCCCCAGGGAGGGGCTGTGACACCAGGGGAACCAGCTTATCAGAGAT